TGGACGAGAGTCAGGAGACCAGAGGAGAGGAGGAGAGCAGAGCAAGAGTTGGGGGCAGTGGGAAGAGCGGAGGTGCTGGGAAGCCGTTGGTTTTGTATTCGAGCATGCGAGGCAAGACAGACCTGGCCCGCTTGTCTTGTTGGAGTTGGGCAAATGGACTGGAACGGACAGGCAACGAAATGCACAAGGAGGCAGTCAGTCATGGCTGGGATTCACGGCTTGTCAGTTGGTCACAAGTCACCAGGCTCACAGCTACTACGGACAACGCATGGCGCCGAACAAGAAAAAGAGGCGAGGACAGGGAGGAGGAGCGGCCCAAGACCCAGCCAGTCAAACAGGGGTGGTGAAATGCTCCAAATGGTCGGGCAATGGATGGGATGTGGACTGGAATCCTTAGTCCATCCGGATACGCAAGAGGCGGCATGGCGGTGGCATTAATGGGCTCATCATGTAGCTAGAGTATGATGCGAATACCTTACTCGTTACGGACAGAGTGTGTGTGCGTGCGTGTGTGTGTGATTCGTGCTACAACACGTGTAAGATATGGGGTGGATTACATGTGTGAGCCAAATGTTGGCCGTCAAAAAGGTGATTCCGCGGGCCAAACGAGCTCGGTACGATGGACCACGATTACCTGTTGCTGACGGACCTAGCGGAAGCCGATGGTGGATGGTGGGCGGGCTGCGAGAGCGACAACGGGAATGAATGGCGAGGCCGTGTTAGTGTCTCGTAACCCTGTGTTGGCGTCTTGATTGCTACTGAAAGACAGGAGACGATAGGGGACAAAAAGTGGACGGAAGCGGAAGCTTACGCATTTCGTTGGAGACACCGAGAAGCAGCTTTTTAAACAGGTCACCAGTCACATTCGACTGGGTTATATCCCACACCCAGGTCCGAGACCACTGAGCCTAGCGGGTACGACGCAACATTACAGCCCATATTAATGATTGCAAGCTGGACCTGTAACACCACTCGCTCGCGGGACAAGGAGCAGCAACTGCAAGGGAGCACGATGGACAGGCTGGAACACTTGTTGGACTGCTGGATGGCTGAAGTTGGCGGTGTCATTGGTTCAGGTTTCCAGTCCCCTCCAATTTGATGGGTGGACAAGATGCAAGCGGACAGGCAAGCCGGGCGGGCGAGCAACCAGCCAGAGACATGGTGGACCGCCTGATCAGCAGTTGCAGCATTGTCGCTGGCCAGGCTGTTCAGTGCGCTAAGAATCAACTCTGCATGGATTATGTTCAACCTTGGCGCAGGCCTAAGAGGTGAAGTGAGATGTCGTGTCTCGGCTTCCAGTTGCCCATCATGGATATTGGCAGTTAAGAGAAATCGGAACTGCATGTGCGACTTATCCGAGACTGGGGCGCTGTATCAGCTCCTCTGCCAGAAATGATGATCCCATAGCCTGCTTTGCCGGATGGAGGCAATCGTCAATCCCGGAGCGGATTCACGATAAAAGGGCCACCCCCGTCATAGTTGCCCAAATGACATGGAAAGAGAGTGAGAGTGTAAATGCTGCATGACACGGAGGAATAAGTTGCGCAACTTTGACGAGAGGGGGCATCCGATTGGAGATGGTCGTAATCGAGACAAGAACAGCGCCTCATTGGATTCTTGACTGCCATGTCCAGCTTGCAGCTTGAAGATGTCATCTAGAACACGATCTGGAACTGGATTAGTGTCTTCTGCCATCACTTGAGGAGGCTCGGGTGCTCGGAATAAGCGATTTCCTCGATACGGATGCCAGGACGGAACAGCCGGCAGGACAGAGAAAGCGAAAAAGCCAGAAAAAGCCAACAGAGTTTCAGCGCCCATGCCATGCCGTGGCCTAAGTATAATGGCACTTGATTCCAGCTGCATCAAGGTTTTGGCGATTCGCTGGTCCAACAACTGGATAAAGGCCTAGCCCCTTGTCGCAACACGACGGCGCCATGACGGCCAAACACATGACACATGGTCAACCCCCTCAAATACCTCCTGGAGAGATCGGATTTCCTTTATTTTAGGACAAGAAATCCCGTTGCGACACAAGGAATCGTGGTCCATTCAGCACCTCCACCCATTTTCCACATCAGGCGGCACCATGCGAGGTTCCAGGTCTGCCTGGCCTACTGGCTAAGTTCCTGATCAATGTTAGCCATATGCAACTGCTTGCTATAATAGAAGGGTCGAAGCAACCAGAGCTGAAGCAGTCTGAACCTTTGAAGACGGGCTGGAAGTTGTCCATGTTCTTGTCTCGAAAACCGGAGAGAGCCCCGCCTTATCCCACAGCTGCCAAGCGATTTCTATTCTTATCCATTGGTTGATTGGACCCGAGACGAGCAATCTGCTTTTTGATTCGTCCAAAACCACTGAAGATCCCTGCAGGTGATCGCTTACCCCTGCCGGCTATGATGTCGCTGTTCAAGAGCCTCTGATGAGGTAATCTGAATATCAAATTCAGAGATTCAACACTCTGCAAGCCATCGACCGACATCTAATCCAATTTCAAGAGGCTGATTCTGCGCTGAAAACTGGACAGAAGGTGCTATTCAACCCAGACTGCGGGGAGAACAAAGAGTTGTCGCACCCCACCGACATGCAATGAGACTTACACCTACCCCTCCCCCGCCTCTGGATCTGGATCCACTTTACAGCCTCAGCTACACTTATAACTTGACGGGCACTGCATGAATTAAACTGTGTGCTACAGCCTAGCGTACCTTACCACAGTACAAGTCGGGCAACAATTACGAATAGTTAGGAACTCTTGTTGGCCTGCCACTCTCTTTCAATCCCCGTCCACCAACACTGTGGGCTTTTCCACTGTACTTACATTAACGCGACGACGCCATCCATCGGGACATCGCACCTCCCCTTCCACAGTATTCTGGTCACTAGTTTAGTAACCGAACTATGTCCTCGGCGCCCGACCTAAGCCAGCTCAGCTGAGTTGGTCCTCACCGCCCGTTCGGTCTCATCTCACAGCTCTCATTGCAAGGTCGACATCAACAAATCCGAGGTCCAACGCTGAGTTCTATCATAAGGTACCATGTCTCGCACTGGTACTGGAGCGGTTTTGTGCACAACTGCTCCTCAAGGAGTGCTCTATGCGCTGGCCACTGACTCACCACACCGTTGTTTGGAACCTTTATATATCCCTGGTCGGCGGCAACAGACCATCGTCCTGTTCTCCACCCTCGGTTCAAACTTCCACCAGCTCTCTCCTCTCCCTCCTCCTCCTCCTGTACGAGCAACAGTTCGCCGACTCCTCACTCCTCTCTCGGCGGGCGCCAATTCTGGACACACTGCACAACCATCAGAAGCAACACGCCCACGGACGTCACCGCATACCTGCAGCTAATAGCGACCGCACATAAAAGCAAGGATTTCTTCGCTTTCCGCTCTATCGCGTTTCTTTCCCCGCAACAGGACGAGCTTCCGACCGCCCTGCAACCCTTCCCTCATCAGCCAACGCCCCCATCTGAACTCCCAAAGTCTATGGCCGGATTAGGAAACCAGTCCAGCGACTGGAAGCATCCTGTCGGAGATGTGCTCTTGATTGCACCTGTTGGGGGCCGTCTCCATTCTCGTCTTCTGTTGGAATAGTCAAATATCCATGGTCCTGCGTCCAACACACCTTTTCCCGTTCCCGACCTGGAGACCGATCGCCCTGGTCCTCCACCTCTGTCTCGGCCAGAGGCCAACACATGTCTTACTGGACCCCGTGATCCCAACACTCGGCATTATCACCACTCACTGACACCGCCCGACCGTTCTCGGACGGCTGTACTCTCTCGGCATAAGCAAGACGCCTCGTACTGCTTGGGACAATGGTGGAAAAGTCGAACCGCAGGAATTCGCTGTTTGACAACGCACCATCCCGGACTTATATCCAGCCTCCAAGCTGACAGACAGTCTCGGCTCCTGCATGACCTAGTCACGAAGTCCCTTTTCTGCTCCGACGCCACGGTTACCTCTCTTTCCCCTTTTAGAGTGGTGCAATTCGCTTCCAAAATTTCAGTCTGTCACCCGAGCCTGATCCTGGTGTTGGTCAATTTTGAGTCCAATACTTTCTTGTCTACATACTGCGGCCGTTTTGTCTTCGTCGACCGAATGTCGGCTTGCATGCCTTAGCCTTGCATCAGCAACAACAGATATGTCTCTCCTCCGTAGTGCCCGGCATCACTAGCCTTTTCTCGGCTGACTCTCGTCGAGTGACGATTAATATGGCAGCTTGTCTTCTCGCTTCCAGACGGACGGTCGCGGGATATAGCAGCACCTTCTCGGGTGCGCAAGGGATGCAGACTGGCGTTCGGAGACCTCATCACGAATTACCGCATATGACAGCTCATGTATGACGAGGAACCAGTTCCACCGGGATTCTCGCTCATGGAGCCACGGTGAGGTTACTGTTCCGAAGGGGGACCCGAGTGGCATATTGCAGCTCTGCTGCCGTGCAGCCTCCACAGGTGACTGGTCGTCTGTTGATCGCAGAGCAGACGATATGCGCTCGTCTGCTGTCGGATCCCAGGTAGCTGCCCTGTAAGGCTGAGGCTGCAGTCTGCTTGCTTGCTTGCTTTCACTTGCATCACAAGCACGAGGAAACATCGGATTAGCTTGGCCGCTGTGCGTGCCTAACTGGCTCTTCACTTTTACCACCGCAAGGCGGTTCCCCTGTTGCTGGAGCTTTCTGGCAAAAAGAAGAACTGACACGGCGAGACAACGGATGATGAAGAGCGCTGTCCTTCGGCTGGTTGGACTCTGCAACCACAGACCACTGGAGGCAAGCACAACGCAGAAAAGAGCTCTTCAACTTCCAACTTGAACATCCACGCTCCCTCCCATACATGAAGCTCTGGTGTGTGTGTGTGTCGGCACTCCGTCCATCCACGGGAGGGTTAGGGTTATGCGTGCAGCACGTATCCGGGAGGCCGTGTGAGAACTTGATCAACCCCGTCCTCACCACTTCACCCACCATAAAGGAGCAAAATTGCTCGTCAGAGGCAAAAGAGAACTGGTCCCAGAGAGGGTTGAACTCTCGACCTTCGCATTTACTTGATACAGCTCATCCCGGACAGACGAGGAGTATTAGTACGACGCTCTAACCAACTGAGCTATGGGACCCGATGGAAGAGCGGTGTCTTGGTGTGGGTTATGGGATGGAGCTTGGGAGAGGGGGAACGAGTCAGTGTCTAGTCGATGTGGGTTGGCGAGTCAGTTCTGGTGCGTCGGCGGCTGTGGGTGCATGTGGACATCTCGTGATGGGAGTATCCGTAGCATGAAAATGTAAGGCTCTTGGGAGGAGCTGCAACTTACTTAGTAAATAATGGTGCCCGAGCCTTGTGTCTTGCGCCATCCATCCGGTAGCAAGCTCCGCATGTTGCGGCCATGGAACAGAAGGGACTTGTAAGTCCTCCTTGATTCGATGGCGAACTTTGACGTTGCATAACGGCCAAACACGTAGACCGCCAGAGGAAATCATGCCACATACAGCGATTGTGTTCCAGTTCTAATGAAACCTAAGATGCTCAGTGGGATATACCGACAGACAGGTGGTGCAATCAGACATACTGCCATGTTTCGTCAGAGATCGGTACAGTGGTGGTCATGGGTCTTTATCTTTTATCCTCAGACCGGCCAAAGTAATAACGGCGCGGCAAGCTGGAAGCGAAGCGAAAGTCGAGACTTGAGCGAACGACGCATTAACGAACGATCTGCAAGATAACAAAGTGTCTGAAAGTGCATAAAAAAAAGAAAAAGAAAAATGCAAAAAAAGAATTCGATGGAGGCGCCATGATTTGAACACGGGACCCTCTGCAATTCAGAGCTCGTGGAAGAGCTTGCAAAGCAGAAATCATAACCACTAGACTACACCCCCTTGATTGGATGCTAACCTTTCCGCATACGTGGCATCATCAAGTGCACATGTCGGGAAGTGGAGTAGGACTGTCGCCAACTGCTGTGCTGACGAACAGGATGAATAGAGAGGCGCAAGAATGGGCAGTCCATCTCGATACGTATTCAGAGTTCAACTGTATGTGCTCGTCTTATGTTAACATAGTACAGAGTGGTTGACCAAGGTTAGGGAAGACAGACTGATGACGGCCGAAGGGAGTTTCCAGTCTGATTCGCACAGCAACGTCAACTGGATTCCGACACCAGTGCTTTAGTGAGTAATGATATTTTTGCTCTCCTTGGTTGTTGCATATGCCAATACCAGCACTCTCCATGCAACCGGCGCTCCCGATGTAACGGGCATAGACGTTGGGGGCGTGATGTCCTCACGTTCTCCGGAGCCACCTACCTTACCCTATACACAACACCCCCATACCCCAGCCAAACATTTTCACCACCTCGACCGTTTCTATACCTCCCCTACTCAACCTAACCATCCTATCTATACCCATGCAAGCCCTATTTCCTAACAAGCCTATACTTCCCCCCAACAATCTCCAGCTCGCCCTCAGCGACCTTCTCGCCCAGGAACTCTTGCAGCTCCTCGTTGCTCCAGGGAAACCCCTCGGCGATGAGCATCTTCATCATCATGGCCATCTGGCCCAGCGGCATCGTCGCCGACGCGTTGGTGAGCATGCCGCGTATGTACTGCCAGTACATGGTCTGCCTGGCGGTTTCCTTCTCGTCTATTTGGGGAGCGGCGGGCGGGCCTGCCGCGGACTCGGTTTCTGCTTGTTGTTGTTGTTGTTGGTCGGGAGAGGGAGGCGCGGATTCGGGGAGGAGGGAGGAGGATGAGGAGGCCGTTTCGAGAACGATGTAGCTGTCGCCTCTGCGGGTTAGGACGCCCTTGGATACCCAGAATGTGAGGGCGGAGGTTATCAGATCGTCGTCCATTTGGAGCTGGTCTTCGAGCTCGGACACGGTGCGGCGGGCGGGCGAGGAGTCGGAGGACTGGAAGGCGTAGATGACCGTTGCTTCGTAGGTCTTGCAGTCGACAGAGATGTTGCGGTCCTGTAGCTCGAGCTCGACGGTTGCTTGCCCCAGCTGGTTGAGCCAGGTTAGCTTGCGGGAGGCCTTGAGGTGCTCGTAGCCTTGCCCGTAGTGTTTTTGTTGCTCGGCTATGGGGTCGGGGAGGAGGAAGTGCTCGCGCTCGAGGTTGGGCCAGAATAGGCGTGATAGGATGCGGGCGTGGTAGGGGGCTTCTGTTTGAGGTGAGGAGGCCCCGCCGCGCCGTGTCTTCGGGTGCGTGGGCGTGGCTTTGACGGGTGTTGTTGCTGCTGGTTGGCCTGCGGCATTGCCGCCCTGCTCCTTGAGGATGGCACCGTCCAGCTTTTGCGAGTCCTGTATGTCCTTAATCATGACGTCGCAGTTCTGCAGCGCTGCCTCGCCGAACCGCTTCTTGAGGAGGTTGAGCACGCGCACTTCCTGGTCGAAACGGGGCTGGTCCGACAGCAGTCGCTCGGCCACTATGACTTGAAACTCGCGGATGAAGGTGTCTTGGGAACCAAGGGCGGATATCAAAGTACCGATCACGTCCTCGCTGCGCGGACGCTTGTAGTTGGCGCCTGCGTCGATGGGGTCGGGCACCCAGCTCATGTCGTTCCAGTCGAGGTCTGCGTCTTCGTCTGCGCCGCCCGCGCGCCGGGATTGGACAGGGTCTGTCATTAGGATGGCGAGCTCGACAAGCTTGGTGCTGTGGGAGGCGCCAGCGTCGGAGCTGGGAGTCGATGGGACGTCTTTGACTGGTGTCTTTCGCGGCCCAAGCATCTTGCGAGGCGGTAGGGCGGGTGTCATGAACGGACCGCCGGGGGTCTTGAGGGTCCTGGGAGTCTTCCTCGCGGGCTTCGAGCTTGAAGCAATGCCCAGGTTTTCTTCTTTCGCGGCCATCTCCATCTTGGCTGCACGTATCTCCTCCGGTGAAGCTAGGAGGCCCGTCACAACGATCCGCACGGCATCCTCGCGACCGCAAAGATAAAGCTGCAGGCTGGGTGACACCCGACTAAGGAGCACCTTGCTGTGATCGAGAGCGTGGAATGTCCGAATCATGGCAATATAGGTCTGGAGAATCTCCAGCGTCGACCGCCCAGGATGGAGCAGCCGCCTTTGCAACTCCAGATTGAATGAGTCGGTCAGCTGAAGTCGGCGCGCTGGCGTCGTGATGGCAGCCCGCAGGTCATCAAGTGCACCGCGTGAACTGGGCCATGCCAGCACAATGTCGAACAGCTCTGAGATGCGCAGCGCCGCGAGGCGGCCGAGCGCCAGAGACTGATAGGTCTTGACGTCCGACAACGTGACCGGTGACTGGCTCAGATCATCTGAGATCCGGCTGAGGACCTCAATGGCTAGGCGAGCGTAATGGTTCTCGACCCAATTACACAACGAAGTAATGCACGGAGACGAGGCCCCTGGAGTTGTAGTCTGCAAACCCGTGATAGAAGCACTTCTCACAAGACCATGCTGCTCACTTGGTGCGGCCCAGACACCAGCATAGGCGCCCCTTATGAAGTCGGACATCATGGCGTCCATTACTTCGGCGAAGAGTATCTGGAATCTCTCGCCGGCGAGACCGACGCTGTAGACAGGCTCAAGAAGCTCAAGCAGCCGCTTCCGTGCTGCGAGCGAATTGAGGTCATCTTCTGTCGGTGGCGCTGGCATTGCTGCCGCCGCATCACCATCCTTCTTCCCCTGCTTCAGTGCAGGCAAACCGAGTGTCGTCCCAACTAGTTGAATCAAAACAACTTGCAGGGACATCATCAACTGCGGAGACGCAGAGTTGCTCACCAGAGCATGGACATCTCGCCGGAAGCGCCCAGCAGTGAGCTCCGGATCAGCAACAGTATTCTCCTTGTATGCGGACTGAACACGCTGAATGCCCCGCACGAGCAGCTGCATGCCGTACGAGTACAGCCTCATAGCGGCTTCCAGCGTCCGCACGCTGCTCATGACAATAATCATGTGTTTCTCGTAGGATCCTCTCCCCGTGGGGTCCCTCAGATCCTCCTCCCCTAACAGCGCCTCCGCGCAGGCAGACAGTAACGGCAGCACATGCTGGGCGAAGTGCGTCCGCACCTGCTGCGTGTGCCAGAACAGGATATCCTCAGTATGTGCCGCCCGCGGAAGAGCGAAAGCTGCATTCACGACCAACCGCAGGGCCTCGTAGAACTCTGCCTCTGAGCTGCCGCCCCCTTGGCGTTGCGAGTAGTGAGATTCGGGAGCTAAGGTTCCGAAGGAGTCCTCGGCTGTTGCAGACAGGGGCAGAGCAATCCTGGAGGTGACGACATGCCAGGCACGGTCATATCGCATCTGATGCTCCGCGGCATCACCCATGTGGTGGTGGCACGTTGGCAGTGGCGGTGGAGGAGGGGATGAAAGGCTGGCGGCCACTGTAGGTGTGTAAGATGATGCGCCCACTTCCGGGTAGTACTGGTTGCCTGATGGTGCTGCGATGTCTCGTTGTCCTGGCAGTGGCTGCTGCAGGGGGTCAGGGGCGGCGCCTGATGAGGAAGACGCTAGGGCGTGGCTCGCTTGGTGAAGTTGGTGGCTCAAGTCAGAGAGGGGGAGGTGTCCGCCGGATGGCTGGCCGTGCTCTGTGGATCTGACAGAGGGTGTGGAGTAGGGCGTCGGTTGTGTGATGTCTGTCTGGAAGACGGACTGGTGCACACGCCGACGGCGTGTTTTCCACCTGGATGCCGCAACTGCCGAGGCCATACTTCGATGATGATGGGGCGGCTCACCCACAGATGGGGCGGTTGTTCCCAGCATGTAACGGAGGGGTGCCTGTCGTTAAGCGGTCAAGTCGAAACGGAAGCGAGCAGGCCTCTGAAGGCTGCGATGCATCTCCTCACGGTCCCAGCTTCGGATAATGCTTAGACTGGGCGGATGTTAAGCCAGGAGCTGCCCTAGATCGATCAGCGACGGTGACCGCCAGTTCCCCGAGCTCGGCGAGATAGTCGATTCGGAGCTGTTGAATTGATGCAGGTGGTCTAGCGATGCAACCACTGCGGCGTCGTTGAAGCCTCTCTGGCTCTCTGGCTTTGTCCTCTCATCCAGTATGTGGACCCGCGGTGTGGTATCAGGTCGTAGCCTTGTTTACCGAGGTAGTAAGAGTCGGCGATTTCATCAAACCATGCATTGAAGTGTGGTGGCCGGGCAGGATTTCAGCTATCGTCTGGGGTGGTTGAGATAGGCTTGGTTGACGTTGTTGGTTGTTGGTTTGTTGCATTTGCATCTGTTGACATTGCCGAATTCGCGATGCGATAGGGTACCTCTAACAAGCGCGATTGCTCTGTTTGGTTGGCGCGCTTACTGTATCTCTTATCGGCACAAAGGTCGCGCTAATTGGATGCCCCACCGACTAGCGCGATGACCGCGTCTGAGCGCTTAAAATCGAGCTAGCGAAAGTGCATTTGGTGCCAACGGTGTCGCACGGGGCAGTGCAATATGCATCAAATGCTCAACATTACGCAAGGCAAGCGACAAGCGAGGATGCATGTGGTCAGTCTTCATTCGTTTATCACATTCGGTTCCTGATGTGTCACTTCAGTGGTTCCAGGCGAGGAACAGCTTCAAAGCCCGCTTCAAATATCGTGACCCATGGGGGTGCACACCAAAGACACCGCCATCTTGCCCCTACAGCGTCGGCCATGAACAGAGAGCAGAAACACGATATGAGGAAAATGGACCCCAGCTCGCACCACAAGCACAACCACCGGCCAGCATAAGGTCAAGGAATTGGTTGGCACCTCATGCTTACCCGCCACAGCCGCGCAACCACTCCCATCCTCGAACGACACCGCTTCAATCTCCCCTCGTCCCGTCTAAGCGCCATTCGCTGGCAAGCGGAGATCATCATTCACCGGATCCAAAGTCGCGAATCGAAGCTGATAGGTCACAAACCGCGAAACAAGGGACGGGAGATGTCGA